CAACAGAAGTAATGTTTCACATAGAAAGATAATTAAGCTTTTCAAACATTTTGCATCCCACATTCAGATTCCAGTTAGGGGTTTTGTCAAACTTGGAGGATATTGAGAATCTCCTTGGATCAGGTATCTGGCAAATGTCTGATGGAACCTGATGTGTTTGTAATTCTGCACAAAAAGTGTGAGCGCATTAGAAGATCTTCATTAACTAATGTGGTTGCAGAAGAGAGAAGGAAGACGATTTTTTTTGGTGCTTCTAACAAATTTATTATCAACACTGAAGCAGATCATAAACTGACTTCCTTGTCTTTAAACACATGAGGTGTTGTTCAGTAACTTTGTTTTTCACTGTCACAAAGTTTTGCAAAAAACTTTGTTGTAACAATATTGTAGTTCTGAATTAAAATAAAAAAACAAAACCAAAAAAAACCCAACCAAAAATGCTCAACAAAGCAAGACCAATGTAGAAGCTGCTAGTATGTCACCCTTCTTGTCCATGCTGGTATTTCATTTCTAGACAGCTGTTGAATTGTGTAATTGAATAATCAGTAGTGTTTCAGTAGCCTTTTTGAAGGCCATTCAAGAAGGGAGGGAAGTTCTAATGTGTGTATCACAAAGAAGAGAAAAATGTTTCTTTCAGCTGATCCTTTGTTTCTAAAGTTAATAAAATGTTACGGTATTCAATGTTTATCCCCCCCAGCCTTAAATAGGATTTCATACTCTAAAATGTGTTCCTGAGTTTAAATGTATTTTGGAGTTTGTTTTCTGCATTAGATTGATAAACTAAGTAGCATAATTGTGGTGCCAAAAAACTGGAGTCACAAACTGCCTGTGGATGTCTTGTGTCCTTACCTTCTTTATAAAAAAGTTTCTCTCTGTAGATTCTAGCAATGGAGCTTCACAGCATGAAAATTATAAAATTGCCACAATATAAAAATCTTTGCTGTCTTCTTCAGTAGCATTCATGATACTGGGCAAACAATAACAGAAAAAGTTATACTTTTGATTTCCTGCTATTTATTACAAGTCTTTTAACTAAGCAATAGAGATAAGTTATTCAAGAGCTAAAACCCAAAAGACACATAGTAGCTCTACCAAATTACTGTTGATCATTTAATGAGTTCGTGGGCTGTGTGAAATACAGATGTATTACCCTGACTGACAGGAAGAATGAGCTGCAAGGATTTTCTGATTAGGAAATTCCAGATGTGGTATATGAGGGTCTCATTTTCCTTTTGGCATTTCCTAATTCATCATCATCACCATAATTATATTTTCACGCCAATAAAATTGTCCATAGAAGAAACTTCATGAAAAAAATGTTTTCAGCCTGGACTTTATTGAAAATGCTAGACCCTTTAAGAATAATAAAATCATGTGCTGACTTGCACAGTTCTGCTCTCATTTAAGACCTGGTCCTCAGTCCAGTATTCAGCTTAACTGTAACTGCTGGTTATCAGGCAGGTGAGTGCTTCCAGGCAACAGTTGTGGTAGAAACTGTGTTAGATTGTCTAGTGCCCAGTTCAGAAGTGGCCACTGAAGACTGCCCTGCATCTTCCCCCCAGTTGTTGTCACATATATACTGTAATCTGCATTGGATTCTGGTTTCACTGCAGGGTGTAGGACTTGCCTCCGAGCAATGTATGAAAGATGATTCAAAGTAGAGTTGGGCTCAAGGTTCAGAGGTGGAAGGGCCAGTTCAGGACAAATTTGGAATGGACTCTCTATTACAGACAGGTGAAGATGAACACTGATTAAGCTGCCCATGGTCCCTCAGGCCTGAGTTCTGACACCTCGCACCTTAGAGATTTTTTTTTTTTAAATTTTTTTCTTAAAGGATGATTGAATGGTTAAAACTGAAGACTGAGTCATACCGTCTAACACCTTGGCTGTGTATCTGATGTATTACTTGAGTAAGACTTGCCAGTCTGCCTCAGATACATAAGGAAATGTGGAAGGCGATGTTGAAGGTGGGAGAGAGAGAAGAATTAGCCCCAGCTCTTTTGTAGTATGTCAGAGCCTGCTCCGTCTGTTGAACAATTTCCTCTTAATGTTTCCTGCAGTTGTTAGTGCCAGTTCAGCCCATGTAATTGGGTGGATAGTAGCTTATATTTGGTTTTTCTTTTAAGTGACGGTTGCCTAACACTGGCTGGCTGAGCACTGCCATGAGCCCTACTGTGAGAGCTGAACTAATACCAATAGCTGTGGGAAACTTCTAGAGAAACTTACAAGTGGAGTGGAGGCAAAAAATTACTACAAGTAATAATTTGGGAGAATACAAGGACTGGAGAAAGAGAGAGTAAGATGAAAGAAGCATGAAAAAAACAAGTCTCCTAGGTTTCCTGCTTCCCTCAGCACCCACAGAACAGAATGACTGAAACAGCTTAGTTTTTTGTTTTAAAGTAGGACAGAGTTCTTTTAGGATAGAAGAGATGTATTTGACAAGAAATGGAAGCAAAAATGAGGAATAAGTTCCTGTCAGATAAGTGTTTTGGTTTTATTCCTGGAGATTTGGGACTAGCTTTATAATTCTCCAGTGATTGCTTTGCAAGCTTCTTGGAAGGAAACAGAAGTAGCTGGAAGCTAAATCATAGACTATTTTGAAAGAGGGAGGGAACTTAACTATTACGCAAAGAAATATGCAAGCCAAAATGAGGGAGTAGAGGGGGAGAATGGAATTGAAAACCAGCTAGTTAACAAAAGAAAGTGCTGAGAGCTGGGGGGAGAGGTACATGCTAGCAAGTGCATGACAATTAACAAGTTGGACTAAACATTTGGAATAAGTAGTTTCTACATGTTTTCTTGCATGACAAAAATGCATCTAATTTTTTTTTCAGCTAACACAGCTCATGTCATGTATCAAGATTTTTAAAAGCCTGCAGTTTAAGCATTTAATAAATATACATGTTTCTGAAGTAGGTATTTTCAACATACGTACAAAGCATAAATGTGGGTTTAGGACCCTAACTCTAGCTCTTGAATATCTCCTTTTGTGACTTTTATTGCTTGCCATAAAAGAATGATTCATGAATTCCCTCTTTCTTCTCATTGTCCTTTGTGAATTATAAAGAAGCCACTTCTTTGCTGTGGTTCTTAACTGCTGTGTAGTTGATGAAAATAATTGGCAAAGGCAAATAGTTTTCCCAGAACATTGGAGCTGAGGCAGACTCTGAAACTAAGCTTTGCTTACCTGTGGAGAGACAGGTCAATGTTTATTATCAAACAGGAGGTATACATTTTGACACCACATAAACAGAAGTTACTAGTCTTCTGTTACAGCTGTGTGTTTTCAATAGCTACTGCTGAGCTAGCTGTTAAGAGTAGCTGAAGATAAGATCAAAAGTCATCAGTTCAAAGTTCAGAAGAGATCATTACTTTCAAGGACAGAAACAGCCACTGCTTCATACCAGGAGCACTTCACTTGTACTGACAACTGATCTTGTATCGCAAGTGAAGTAGGTAAGGCCAATTATGGGGTAATAGAGTGCCATGTTTCCTATCTGAGTTCACATACTAGTTTGGCATGGCTGCCCACTGAAAATACAAAGCTATCATAGCATACATCTTTATTAAAGAAAATGCCCAAGTCTCTTCTTGTAATTCTTGTATTAGGCAGATAATGAAATGAGTTTTGTAAATGTTTAAGTATTTGAATTAAAGCAAACTATTCCTTACTGAAATAATTTCTCATTAAAATTATAGTAAAGTTTTTGCATCATTTTGCATGGGTTCTGCTTTTCTTCAGCATATGAGAAGAATTTTAGAATGAGGGTTTGAACAAGTTAAACCAACTTTCAAGGCCAGTTAGACTTCTTAAGAAGTTATGGATAAAATCTCAGGGAGTTCCCTCTCCCTCCTCCCTGTGTTTCGAACACAGGCTGAAGCTTCTGGTGCTTCTCCTATGTTAACAGTGTGCATAATCTCGCATTTATTTATTTTTTCCCCTTTTCTGAGTATGTATTGTACTTGTAGAAAAAAAAATGAAGAACTTTTACTCCCTTTCACTTTGGAAAACATGATTGAATTGAACCTGGTTTTAGAAGAAAATAATAGCTTATTATTTCTGTCAGTTGACCTAGCTCTGAATAGTGTGTTGCTGTCATGTATAAATCTTAAACAATGATACTGAATAGATTTGAGATATTACATACAGAAGTTCAAACATTCCCATTATTTTACAGTAGTCTCTCAGAATTGTGCTGCTTTTTTTTCCTCTACAAGTGTAAATCAATAATTAGAGGAAGATGTGGAAGAAATCATAAAGAAAAAGGCATAATATATATAATCTTAAGTAGGACAAACATTTTTTTATATAGCATGAATCCTTTTTCCTAGTTGGAAAATCTGTCTGCATATGGTTCTTTACAGGGTGAAATTTATTATATAGGTAAAATGCTGCCTTTTCAGTTTTGTGTAAATTCTCACTGCTAGTAGACCAGTTACTTGATTATTTTATTTTTGTCATCTTTTAGTGTTGTCTTAGGTCTTTTAGCATATGCTTTTAAGTCTTATTAGGAAAAGCAAGTTTTAAAACTATGTCTGAAGAATTATGAATGCAAAAGGAAATAGTAATCCTACCAAGTTTCCTAAGCAAGTCTCCTATAAGACTAAATGCAGTTAAGAGAGGAGAAGGTGAACTTGGCTTTTCACAGCAACTTTATATGTGTCTGTTTAAACTAGCAGTGCTATCATTTCTACTAAGAATTTCTGAAAGAACAAAATCATCTCTTGAGATTAATAAACAGCAATAGATAAATAACGAGTGATGTGCTCAATGCGGTACAGTTTAAACACAGAAAATCTAATGGGAAGTAGCTACATTAGTAGCAGATGGATTTACTTCCTGAATCCCCATCTGAGTGGAAATCCTAGCTTACTTAAAATTTGTCTTCCAGATTTTTAGCCTGATAAGAAAGGTGGATAAAGCAATTCATTTACTTGGCTTCAGTGCTGTGATGATGTGTTTTGTTTAAACTTGCTATTGTTGTTTGATTTTTATCTAGGCTATTTTTATGATTCCTACAAATCCCCCTCCAACCTTCCGGAAGCCAGAGCTCTGGTCTGATGAATTCACAGATTTTGTGAAGAAATGCTTAGTGAAAAATCCTGAACAAAGAGCTACAGCAACACAGCTGCTACAGGTCAGTATTTAAGTTACTGAGGAAATGCAAGTTTTATGGCTTTTTTCCTCTAGTCTCAAACCAGAACGGTTGTGAAAATTTCTAAAGACAAATCTCATATTAACTATTATCATGCCTTACTTCTTTTCCACTTTTTCTCTGTCAGCTCCTGTATCTCTACCCCCATTTTATTTCTCTTTTGCTGCTTCTAAAAATTAATTGCTCTATATAAAGTTTAGGGCTGGTTGTTGCTATTAAAATTGGATCCTTGCTTTGTGGTGGGAGGCCCTCAATAGATCTCAGGATGTAGGCAAGTGTTAAGTTAAGGAATTGAGCCCAGGTTACCCCTCAGTGTGGACCACCCATGGAGTATATTCAGTCTTTCTTTCTGGTCATGTCAAATTAAGCAGACCAGTTGCTCTGTGTCCTAGAAGGGTCTGATGCAGATGGACAGTATAACAGGTTTGTTTGGCTGAGTTACACCAAGTGGGCACTTTTAAATTCAAGCCACATTTGGTGATGTGGACCTGTGGAGCCAGGGCAGGGTGTAGCAGGCTTTTGCCCGCTCACTGACCTGAGCTTCTGGTAGCTGCAGAAATTTAACAGTTGCATCTTTCGGTACTGAGATAGAAATAAAGCAGAGAAATTTCAAAGAACTACAAAAATCAAACAGGAGGGACTGATCTATCAAGAAAGATTTAGTTTTTGTGAAATGGACATAATTTTACAGGGTCCACATATTTTAGTACATGGGGGAGAGAGAAAACATGAAGAAGGTTTTTTCCTTTGACCCCATATTTGTGTTATCCACTGCCTTCAGAGCTGTCATAATAAGCTTACAAGTAACTAAGGAAAAACAAAGACCAAAGGTAGTGAAAGAGACGGGGTGGGGGGAGGTTTCTAGAAAAATTATAATAGGTTCCATGATGATTGAAATGGAATCTAAAATTTCCTGTAAATAAGCTTGCTTTGGTACTGAGACAGAAGTGAAAAATTTTGCTATGTCATTTGCTCCTTTTACTTTCCCGATTCCTAATTCATTAAACTTTTGGATAATTTAGTGTTCTACACTATTCACTGCTATTGGTAAATAGTATTCTTAATTTTCTTTGTTCATCAGTCTACATAAGAATCTGATCTTCTGAAATTTCATCTGTAAGACACTCATGCTAGATTTATTCTGTCTCTAGCTAGCAATAGCCTCTTTTAAAATTTACATTGCAGTGAACTCCACTACAAGAAGAACATAAAAACTTTGCAAAGTAGTTTCCAGTAATAGATCATCAAATTAATAAGTCATGTTATGATTATTTTATTTTCCACACTGTGACAACACCAAAATATAGACTGCAAGGAGAGTAAAAATTGGAAGTTATAGATTTTCATATGATGTATGAATCAGTACTTGAGACCTTAAAAATTTGAAGTTCATATGGTTAGGTGAATACTGGCAGCTGGATAGAAGAGACTTGCATTAATGTCTGCAAGTAAGAAAAAAAAAAAGAAAAAAATCTTCAGTGTTCCTCTTTCCACATGCTTACTGGCCAGAAAACCAAATACTGTGGCCCTTTCCCCCAGCTGGAATTTGGAGCATGTGTGATGCAGCTGGAGGTGCTGTGTGTGTGTGTGAGTGGGAATGAAAATACTGCTTGTGGGGAAAGATCATGGATGAAAAAGGAGAGTAATTGAATTAATATATCAAGGGAGAAGGTAGATAGTAAATGTAGGACACTAAGCTTCATCAATTCTGTTCTTCATGGAACAATTTTCTACTATTTAATAATACATTTTTGAGGTGCTTAGAGTTAGGTTTTGCCTAAATTGTATTTGCATATAATAATGCAAAAATGAGAATTTTTCTGACAGCAGGTGTTTATTAGACAGCAAAATGAATGTAAATGGTATCATGCACATATTGTCTTAAAGGAAGAAGTGATGTTTTAAATAGCCTTGAATTAAAAATTAATCTTCCTGCTAAAAGTAAGGTATTTTTTTGCTTATTCCACATTTCAGCATCATAGATCAAGAAATGTTTTATGACATATAAAGTAGAGGTTTGTTGAAGTAGGCAGCCATAATTGCTCTGCTTACATCCACTAATTTATGCTGTCAGTTTGTTAAGATTAATTAAATTCTGTAACTGAATATCTGAAAATGTTTGTTTTTCTATGTCAGACAATCACCACTCTATTTATTTACTACTTACTGCACGTTTCCTTTGGAAAATTATATCCTTAACTATAAAACAGTTGTTATATGATTACATTTCCCAAGGCTTGCTGTTATTAAAAATAGTTAAAGTAAGATTTTAGTTATGAAACAGCTAAAAGATATTGTATGTTGTGTTAGTGTAAATTTTAATTATTGTGTAATGTAAAATACTATTTATCACTGAAATCTGTTGTGTTGAGTAATACTTGTAATTACATCTGAAGCCTAACTATTGTAATGATGTTATAAAAGTTAATTTTTTTTTCCTAGCATACATTTATTAAGAATGCCAAGCCAGTTTCAATTTTAAGGGACCTAATCACTGAAGCTATGGAGATAAAGGCCAAGCGACATGAGGAACAGCAGAGAGAACTAGAAGAAGAGGAAGAAAATTCGGTGTGTACCTTTTTTTCCTATAACTATCTGTACTTTATAGATAAGTTGCTGTTTTTCCTCTACTTCCTGTACTTGTGTTCAAATACTTTTCTTTACCAGGTTTCTACGTGGTTTTTAGCCTATGAGGGCTGAATATTCCACTGCTACTTATGATGAGTAAAGCTGCTGTGGGTAATGCTGTATGAGCCAGCTTTCAGCACTCTTCCATGAGATGTCCTAGTAAAAAGGTTTTCTAGGAGGTGGGAAAAGAAACCATGTCAACTTCAGCTGTTCAGACTAACATAAAAAAAATAACAAAACAAAAAACAAACCCCTAAACTGTTAAGATTCCACTTTCACATATGGGCTTCTAGACAGGTGGTTTAATTTTCAGTTCAGGGCGTTTTTTTTTTTTTAATTTTTTTTGTTCAGTCTAATGCACAGAATAGTTAGTTACGACGCACAGTAAGTGGTGATTACAATATGGTTTGAATCAAGTTGCACCTATGAAGTGAAAAGGTTGACAGCATTCATTCTTCAGATGATGTCAGCATTATGTTTGAGGAGAGAGGCAGGTCGTGTGACAAATAGGTTGCATTTAGAATTGTTTGGCAATGTTAGGAATAAGTCAGTGTTCCTGGCATTATTACTCTCCCTACATGATTTATTTTAGGGCAGTCTTGTGCAATGCAGCAGTATGTGCTTCAAAGAATTGTATTGCCACACATACAATGAGAACCAAGGTCATTCAGGAGTAACATGCAGAGAAGATTGAGATTGGAATGTTAGTAGAAATCTTACAGCTTTGAGCAAACAGAAGAGAGCAGTGCAGTAATGCAGGCTGCCCTATCCCAAATTGTAGAGTCCTTGTTATGTGTTACAGAGTGTTAGGTGGTGATCTATATATAAGAATATTTTTCAAGCAGATTCTGTGGAGTGTTTTGTATCACAATAGACAGTATGGTCTTTTGTTTGCTGGACGTTTTTCTGTTCTAAGAGTATGTTCTAAGAGTATTGATAGCTTGTGTTTATAAAGATGGTTTACTCTGGATTGTATTTGCTCAGTCAGTAATAAAACAGGCAGGGAAGGCTGGGATTATTTCTTTTTACGTTAGGAAATATTGCCTGTGTGAAAATGTGTGACTTGACGTGCAGAGTTGATGTTTGTGACTTGATATATCGAATAGTTGATCTCTAAGAGACTGATTTATTACCAACATAAAAACCTAATGTCTTTACTAGCATACTTTCCTCCCTACTATTGCCTCCTGAACTGTAGACCTCAAACACTTGGGCATTGTTGATGTCTTTTGCATTAACCCCAAATTAGGTATGACATGTAATTATTTAGTCTGAGGTGCAGATGGGGAATCAGATTGCCAGGCATGGATGAAACAATCCATGCCAGCTCAGTATGTGGTGTACACCTTCCCTCTCCCACTGCTGGTGGAAGGGTGCAACACAGGTTTGGTCCACCTCAACTGAAGAAGCCTTTAGCAACTCCTGCTTCCTGCATGGGTGCAAAAGTCAGAATGTAACACTGCACTCCCCTCCCCCCCCCCAGGTTATTCAGTGTTTAGTATAAAGGAACCTCAAATCCAGGACTGGGGCAGGAATCTGTTATTGTGTTACCATTGCAGTAGATGGGAGTTTTGCCTTGAATTTTTGTGGTGCAGTCAGGGAATAGGTGATGAGTTAAAAAGACAGCAAGACTCTGCTTGTCACTAGCTGTAAAAGATAGGTGCCTCAAATCTGAAAATAACAGAAGTATCTTTGGTTAGCAGGGCTGAGAGCAGAATCACAGAATAGCTGAGGTTGGAAGGGAACCCTGGAGGTCATCTGGTCTAACCCCCCTACTCAAACAGAGCCACCTAGACCTGGTTGCCTAGGATTGTGTCCAGACAGATTTTGAGTATCTGCAAGGAGGGAAACTCCACAACCTTTCTGGGCAGCTTGCGCCAACGCTCGGTCACCCTCAGAGTAAAAAAGTGTTTCCTGATGTTCAAAGGGAACCTCCTGTGTTTCAGTGTGCGCCCATTGCCTCTGGTCCTGTCACTGGGCACCACTGAAAAGAGTCTGGCTCTGTCCTCTTTGCACCTTCCCTTCAGATACTTGTACAGATTGATGAGGTCCCCCATGAGCCTTCCCTTCTCCAGGCTGAACAGTCCTAGCTCTCTCAGCCTCTCCTCAGAGGAGTGATGCTTCAGTCCCTTGATCATCTTTATGGCCCTTTGTTGGACTCTCTCCAGTATGTCCATGTCTTTCTTTTACCGAGGAGCCCAGAAGTGGACCCAGCAGTTCACGTGTGGCCTCACCAGTGCTGAGCAGAGGGGAAGGATCACCTCCCTTGACCTGCTGGTGACACTGCTCCTAATGCAGCCTGGGATACCATTTGCCACCTTTGCTGCGAGATTGCATTGCTCTTAAAAATAAGTGCAGTTGTAGTCTATGGAAGTGCTAAGTCTGTAATTTTTTACTTACATTTAACAGAATTTGAGGAGCTGTAATCATATACCAGTGCATGAACATCAACAAACCCAGAAGCAGAAGTCAGCCTCCCCTTGAAGAAATTGCTCTTAACTATAAAGCAGAAGGTCAGAGTAGATGACAGAGAGGCACAGGCAGAGGAGATACAAGATTAGTCAGCATAGGAAGCTTGGCATTAGCATATCTTGCTCAATTTTTTTTTTCAGGATCATGATGTAGAGGAGTTTTAAAGGACAATAATGACAGTCTTGCAGAGGGCTAGAGGCAGCCCTGCTGGCAGTAGGAGACCTGAGAAAAGAATAAATGGGTTTGAAAATGTAACAGGCGAGTAATAGAAGAGGCCAATTTGAGGCAGAGCTGACTTCTCAGTACGGAATGAAGTGATAGAATAGGAGAAGGCCATGAAAGGGGACTTCAGTCTAATGAAAGACAGAAGGGGATAAGTTGGAAAATGAACCTTTGTAGTTGTATTACCTCGAGTGGAGGGATCACTAGATGAGACTTTAAGATGATAAATATGCAAGAAGGATGAGAGAGTCTGGATAAAAACTTCAGCAATACGGACACTTTGAAAAGAAGGTATGTTTGTTAACGCAAGCCCTTTGTACTGCTGTACTTGTAGAAGACTTCAGAATTATTTAAAGAAAATAGTAAAATACATTGAACATGCACATTATGCTGTATGGTATCCTTGGAGTTAATTATTGAAGTTCTTTTTGAAATAGTTTTATCATCATTAGTAATTTGATGTCTTGTACTCCTTTTTAGTTTTCTATGGTAATGCTGACTTACAGACTGTAATTGATTAACTAAAACTAATAAATAATAGCAAATGATGTTTGCAGGGGATGTTAAGAGAGAGATATCCTGGATATTGAGTGCATAATATATTGCATTTGGACATAATTACATAAGCCCTTGCGGTTGCTGCGTTTTTGAGCTAAGAAGTTTGCTTCCTCAGCAAGATAAACTGGCTGCCTCTATGGGTCTATTTTAATGCAAAGTAAACTTTGTGAAGGGTGGACTTAAAAGTGACACTGAAGGTATGCTGAATACAAAGCACAGAAGAGATTAATGCAAGCTATCCCTTAATATTTTAGAGCATAAGATGACAAGTTTAAGAGTTCAAATGGGTGGTTATTGCATATTGCTAAGGGGTGGTAACTGCTTGAACTACAAATTCTAACTCTGCTTAACACGTTATTGTAACTTTTTCTTTGGGGAAAACACAGAAAGGTTAATCCTTACAATCATATGTCTGTTTTGTTTGCTGTGAGAGAGATCCTGTAGTAGACTAGGCTACACAAATAGTCTGTAGTCAAGTTCATTGTGGGCTAAGGTAAGTCAGGCTGTCTTATATTTGCTACAGATCTATGTGTGCTTTTGAAGTGACAGTAGTTCAGATCATGTTTGCAATGCCATGGTAAGGCGGTTGAGAGTTTATCTGTAGTTCTCCAGCAAAGGCCAGCTTTGCTCATGGCAGAGAAAATGGATATTTTTAAAAAATAGTTTGTGTCATTCTTATAAACTTCAGTAGGGAGAAGGAATAGATCTCTTTGAGCTTGGGGGAAGTTCCAAATGTAGACAAAGACCATGTGCAAAGGTAAGAAGAAGATATGCCTCCTGTAAGTGGAGTAAACAAAAGGGAAGTACTAGCTGGTGATGCTGGCAAAGTGGGAAGTTGCACTTGTCAGTGTGATAATTACATATTTTTTTATCCTGATCATGGATTACTCCTGGAGGTTATTCTGGAGAGGTTTTGTGCCTTTTCCCCTTTAGCTCCATCAGCTTTATCAAAGGAAGACTATAAGCCACCATGAATTTACTACTGCAAAAATATCTTGTAATGGACAAGAGGATGTCCAGGTATTTTTGCTGTAAGGTTTATATTGAGTAGTTAAACTTTTGAAAAAGTTTGCTGTTATATTAAAGACGAAGTATAAAAAGGGATTTTTGTTCCTATTTTTAAAAAGATTTTTTTTTTTTTTAATGCTGTTGAGATGTTTTAATTCCTTAAGTTTTCATATGGTTTTATGATTCTAAAGAATAATCTATGTTAAGGTTTGTAATTAGGATGAAAGTTTTACTTTTGTTAAAACTGTTAATGTGATATTTGGTAGTAAGTATGACTTTTGCTATCAGTAAATATATGCCTTTAATAATTTTGTATTGCTTGGTAAGCCTTGAGTGAAAAAAGTTTGGAAATACTTAGCTTTAATAGAAAAAGTGAGGGTACAAGTGAATGAAATGAAGAATACTAATGGTGAGGTGAGGAGGAGGGATTTCCTTGTTGACAAATACAGTTTGTCAAAACTCCATGTTTGGTAGTGACCTATGAATAGCTTTCGTGTTGTCACAATGCAGAACTAATCTTGTTCCGAACTGGTTTTAATAATTTCTTGGTTGTAATACAGACTTCCATGTCTTGCAACTGAGTTTCAGTGCAGTACATCATTGTAGGAAATTCCAGATTCATTTGAGAGATGACAGCAGCATCTTGTCCAGTTGCAGTCACTAACGGTTCTGATCAGTTA